GATCTTTTACAATATATCTTATAGAAATTAAATCTTATGAAAATTTGCTTTATTTCTAAATATTGTGTATTCAGCTTAAGGCAATTCTTTCTTAATGAACGAGATGCCTATAAGAGTATTAGGTAAATACTTTGTAAGCGCTTTTAAGAGTACAATGTAATTAAATAAAGTCTATGGGATACGGGCAGTTGCGTTTTATTTTCGTGCTTTCGCAAGATTTATGTTCACGTTATTATGGTGGTTTTTCAGTTTCATTTTTATCTAATATTATTTTTAGAGGTTCTGTTTACATTCTAGTTTTATGGATATTGGGATTGTCATGGGGATTAGTGACTCAATTACTAGCAATGTACGTTGTAATGTCGATTTTCTCGTTCTCCTCCTGGAACCTATATTTACTCCAATCTCTCATCACGATTAAATACTGCTGAATGCGCCTCGGTGACCTGACCTCATGCTCATCTTATTATTCTTTTAATTTTGTTGGATTTTGTTAATTATAAATCCAGATAGAGTAATCTGAGGTACTGATTTTTGAGATATAAGGAATGGTACATCCGCTTAACTAATGGTATTTGCCGGTGGGGTACTAGTGGTGAATTATAAGGGGAACATGATTTTAGGCCAGTTAGCACATCGTGGCTATCGTGGCTATATATATAGGAATTAATGATTGCCATGGTTGGTTGCCGTACAGAGGTCGGCCTAAGATGGTACATGTGGTACCACTTCTTCACATTACTCACAATCTCCTCATAATTTATTTCAACATAGGTCTCCCCGTATATTAGACATAGTTGTTTTGTTATTGGTGTTTTTATGACTAGAAAAAAATTGATATTTTTTGTGTCTGCCAGATTCGAACTCAGGTAAAGTATTTAAAGGCATTTAAAGTTAGATGTAGATAACGATAGCGATTGTTGAAAACTAATCTCGACACTCTCTTTCTTAAAACATATTTTTATATCATTTATAACACTGGACAATTCACACAAAGCCATTTCGTCCCAAGCTAAGATACTAGATAATTGGTAGTTATTTTATTTGTAAATATATACACAATATATAGAGGAAACATCCAGAATACTGCGAGACAAGCGGTGTACTAATAAACCTCTAGACTACCTAAGCCGTCATGTACATCAATTTAATACAATAGTGGAGCTGCAGGGTTGCCAACCTCTGGTGGACATCCAATTTTATCAGCGTGAGCATCGATTTCATTTTTACCCTAGAGTCAAAGATGATTAGGCCTATCCCAAAATCACCAGGGAGGCAGTAGGGCCTGGAGGTAGCTTGCAGTCTATTTTCTGCATGCCTAGATGGAAGGTCTTATAAATGGGCTTCATACTAGTTCTTAGGCGAACGACTGCGTTCCGATGGTCTCGGTAGTATGTTTGAGAAGTCATACCGGTAAGAATTCGGTAATCCCCATCCGTCTCTATACTGGTGGGCCACAATGAAGATCTTTCTGATGTAAAAAAGTATGCTAAACTGCACTTAGCCTTTTACAAAGAAATAGAAGAATCTGATAAAATCTGGTATTTTACCACAATTTGGTTCTCTAACCTGGACGAAGTTAGAGATCACCTAATTTGGACTGAATACGAGGATTGTCCTACGGTTGGCAGCCCTGTCGAGCTTTTATTTACTCGTGTTGTAACTGTCGCTACCACTTGTTGAACAGTTTCTTAATTAAAACAGAAATTAAGTCGAATCCCTCGGGTGCTGTAAACATTTTTCAAATATCTCACTTATAGTTTAAGACAAATGGAGGCCATAAATAAAAATAAGTATACACTTACAGCAGGCATTAAGTTATAGAGCTTTAAGAGGTCGTTTTATATTCAAGAGACAAAAATATATGTGTCACAAGAGAGACAACGCTGCAATGTAATGCATTCGTAGAGCACTTACTAAGACATGCCACTTACGATGCACGCCAGTGTTTTCGCTTACATTGTTTCTGAAAGGACCCATTTAGATATTACCATCCACAAATAGAAATAATATATATATTATTCAAATAAGCTAATATTATACCTAATATATTAGTCTTAATATATTATTCTCAATTCATATACTCCAATATTCTATATTTTCATAAAAATCTTCACTATTTCCGAATAACATCAATGTCCATAATATTAATTCTAGATTTAAAGACAAACTTGCTGTCCTCAAGTATCGTTTAGAAAAAGTCAATAGGTCTTTTATTGGAATAGGTATAAAAATTTACAATAAGATACCAAAGGATATACTGGACCCTTATATAAATTTAAAACATCTGTTAAATCATATGTACTGAATAAAGCCTATTCCTACTCACTAAACGATTATTTGAATGACGAGCATGCATGGCAATAGTTTTTCATGCGCGAGATTTTCATTTACACATAGACACATATATAAATATACATTGTAAATTAAAATTTAACGTCCATAAGTACCTAAAATATTCTACATGAATAAATGATTTTTGAATTTGAATTTCAATATATTTTTTATGTATGGTGCACCCTCCTGCGCGACGAGCACGTCATAGCTTTTTTTATATGTTGCACTATTATGAATATTAACCAAATGGATACTAATATAATATTTCAAATTCTAAAATGACAAACGTGGTAGGCAGTAATTGTTCATACACAGGTTTTTTATTTAATGTTAGACATAGACACTTATGTAAGTATACCAAGGTGTAAACAAACATGCATTTAAAAAAAAAAATTGAGTTTCTTGCCAGATATCGTAAAACTTGGACGGAACTTTTTTTGCCAGGTAGCTGATGCAATGAGTAACTTGGCTAGTTTTATTTTAGAAAAAAATCATTTTGGAAAAATAAAATTCCACGCGGACGAATTCGCGGGAACAGCTAGTAAATTTTATATTTAACGTATTATTTACCCACAACTTAACAGTTATTATTCCCATTTTCCTGAGATTAGAAAATGGTATTCCACTGATAAATCAGTGGATTCTTGCGTTATTATACTTAGGCCTATAAATTTCATATCTGCAAGCAATAAAAGTAATATAATGTGAGTGGATTATAACATTTATTGGTATAGAGGTCCAATATTACATTGGATTCCGCCCGCGGCGACAGTTCGGGAAAATTGTATGGCCTTATTTTCGATGTAGCAACGCCTCACTGGAAATATATGACCATTTTAGCTCAAAAATTTTTCATTTATGTCTGTTTGTGTTATAGAAAAATATGTACCTTAATTAGTGTTTTTATAGAAATATACCCAGTAATTTCGTTGTAAATCATTATCCAATTTAATGGTATTAATAAATGAAATGTTATGTTGAAGAAGAAAAACATAGGCCTCGTTAGTTGAAAGATGCAAAACAATACATAACAAAATCAACCTTACTGTAAAATTAATTAGGTATTTGATACAAGGCAATGTGACTCGAGCGCTGTTGAGAAATAAGCTGATACAAAATAACAAGTGCTAAAAGTTTTACTGTTAAATAGTTCATTAAAAAACGAACAAAAAAAAACAATAATAATTATCCTCAACTTAAGTTATTTTAATTCTATACTCGCTATTAAGAGGCTTAAATCAAGCCACCTGGAGGTTGTTGCTCCCAGAGTTGATGCCGGGGCAAAGGGACTCCGAGGCACCAACTTTCCACCTCCTTGGGGTGACGTGGATGACCAGTCATTCATTAAACTATCATGTTGACATTTTATATATCTATAGACAAGTGACATGTGAACTCCATAATATCTAATTAACATTTGTATTCAAATGGATTGAAGAGGAAATCTTGAAACAGACAGTTAGGCACCGAGGCCATGTACGTCATGCAACGGCCTGGGTGAAGGTAATTCCACATGAATAATCCCCTCAATCTTCCTCAAATTGTCATGCATAAAGTAGTTATATTATTTAAGTAGGTTTATTATTTAATTAGAGTATAATTTTATTTTCTATAATGATGACAACTACTTTGGGTTTAGAGCTGTATATGCTATATGTTAATAAAATAACTCATATATTAGGAATATATAAGATATTTTAGACAGACAGATATTATAGATGGCACCACGAATATAAACTTTAATATATGACGACTCAGATCAAAATTGTGACATACGAATTATTGGCCTACGAAACCTTTTCTATATAGTATACTAGCTGTCACGGCAAATGTTGTTTTGCCTTAAAATAAAAAAAAAAAATAAATAGGAATGGACTATATGGGATGAAAAATAGATGTTGGCCGATTCTCAGACCTACTCAGTACGCTCACAAAATTTCATGAGAATCGGTCAAGCCGTTTCGTAGGAGTATGGGAACGAAAACTGTGACACGAGAATTTTATATATAAGATATTGAAACAACAGATAATTTTTTATACATTTTACTAGTATTATATCTATTTTGCCATCTACTCTTTATTACTAACTCATATAATAAAATAGAAATATAAAAATATAAATCAAATCAATCAAATATGCCTTAGTTCTTCAATTGACTATAAATAACAAAGTACATTATTATAAAACTTAAAAATAATAGGACTCGTTTACAATATATTTTATATGTACACTCTTTGGATGAAAAGGCGTATAACCTATTTGTACTTATTACAAATATCACTTTTGTATATCTAAATAATGCTTTAGACGACTATCTATGTTGGCTATAACTTACATACATTTTGACTCACTTATCACTTTCTATATCACGCTGTATTAGATTGATTAGAAGAGTCCTTCTTTATTAACATTATTTCTAATGAATATTATTCAATAATGTATTGCAAAGTGCAATAAAGAAAATAATTATTTTGATTCGCTTATAATATTATATTGAGCCTCTACTCAGGACTTTGTCTGGGTGACCATTATTAACTGGGATAAAAAGTACATATCCTTTCCACATAGGACTATGCCAAAAACAGTTAAATTTAGAGGAATGATCGTGAAAGGCAACAGACAGACAGGATTACTTGTCTGTCTTTATAATTATTTGAATTGATTTATTTATTTTGATTACGGTCCCAAATGATTACTGTTTAATATCATAACCATCAGTAGAGAAATAGTAGACGCCAGTCGCGGTACCAGGGTTCCAGAAGCCAGCCATAGTAATATCATTCCTTGAACAACCTCCTGCCTTATAATCCTTATATGTATCACACTTATGAGCCACAAACCACTCGGGATGACTCACGGTTGCTGTATACACGTCAATACATGTCCTATGGTTGCATTTCGCTGCTTTAGACGAATCAAAAATACCAGGAATCCATGGAGTACCACAATTGGGTTGGGACGCGCCTTTCTTATTCACAAAGAAATCAACATCTCCCAAAACGCTAGTCGTTCCTAAACCACCAGCATTACAATGATAGACCTCAACGTAATCCGCTACCCCTGATCTAACTTGCTCTTCGATAAGACTGTTGGAGAAACACGGTCCAGCTGGATCCAAAGCTGTGATTCTGGATATTCTTTCGTTAGTCATATTGATGAAGATTTCTCCAGTTTGTCCGAGCATTTGGCTTCCTAAACTGTGTCCAATGCAGTGCATATTCTTCGGGGATATGCCCGCCTTCCTCAATTCAGATAACATTTTAGCCAATGCTTTCCCTATATAGTGAACATGTTGAACAGAACGTTCATAGCTTTTTATATATCCATGTTTGTTGTTAGTATATTGAGAATGATCTAGAATAATCAGATAACTGTTTGGATAGTTTCGGAACGTGTTTCTGATTTGTTCTTCAGTTTTCTTAGTGATGTTAGACTTGTATCCAGGCACGAAGATAATGAATTTCTTGACTTTGTCCAGTTCAGGTGTTGCGAGGATTCCCTGGGCGGCGTTGTCAATTAGGTAAGTTCCAACATGGTTTCTTGAGAAGTCGTAGAAGTAAACGTATACGCCACTTACGTCGAGGTTTAGATCTTTGTCGTGTCTACCTGCAAATTGAAATGAATATATATTTTAGTTTAAGATATAACTAATTAAGATTTCTATCTGGAGTATATCTATCTGTACGTTACTGTTACGTAATTTTTTTATTTATGATAATGGTATGGTCCCTGCCTAAAGGCATACGCTGGCGGGGCGATGGTGGAGGATGATGAAATGAGCATGAGGTCAGATCAGTTAGCCCATTGTGTCTAATTCACCAGGAATTTATTACGAGGATTTTCAGGGGGAACCGCGGAGCGCGCGCTGCCAATTCTAACATGCTAACAATGGGATTGTTAGTCCACATTACTAGCAATCGCTGTGATATGAATGATTATAATGAGTATGAATTCGCCTGTGATAAATGTACCACGCAAAATGTGAGTGCATCATATAAAATTAGTATTTCAAGTACTTATTGAAATTAGTCTACCTTGAGAAATAATTTGATAGAAACTTTCATAGACTATTCACCCCTCTTAAGTTCTATTCACAGAGCAAATTGTTTATTAAAGTTCAATCTATCTCTACACTTAAAATTCCATTTACAGAGCAAAGAATAGTTTATCCTTTACTAAAGTTCTATCTATCTCTATACTTAAAATCATCAAAATTGGTTCAGTAAATAAGGCGTTAATAGATAGCAGGCAGATGAAGTTACTTCCTCATTTATATTATTTATACCAGCATGTATCTGCGACTTCGTTTGTTTTCTCGATATAAAAGATAAATATGGGCATATAGATACATATGTATGTTGATCTTCGTGTCACAATCTATCTTTACGTAAAATTACATTAAAATCCATCTGCTAAATGGTAGATAGACCTGTAAATCTATAACATTTGTAAAAAAAAAGGCTTGAGTGTTATTGTCAAACTCGTTCAAATTTTGTCAGATATTCGTTTGTCATGAATTCCAAAAGAAACTCAACGGGGCGTTATTTTTCCTTACTTTATTACACCCGGGGGGTTAGCACAGTGTTGTAACAATTTTTATTTATTTCTACTCCTGAGATTCCGCCGGCAAAATACCAACCCTATAGTCTAACTATTAAGGTTGTAATTACAATATTCTCAAATTATATACAGAGTTGAATAAATGCCGTTTTGAAAGTGTTCTCGGCAGTAATATAAAAAAAATAATAACTTGACGGTGTTCAGTGGTCTAGTTGTTTAGTACACCGCCTACTTCTGATAGACGCGGGTTCGATACCGCGCATGGTAAAAATATTTTGTATTATCATTAATACGTATGTATGATTATTTGCAGCAGTTTGGATGACTTCTATATATACATAACTAGCTACTCGTCCCGACTTCGTCCGGGTGTACATGTATTATACATATAAACCTTCCTCTTGAATCACTCTATCTATTAAATAAAATCGCTTCAAAATCCGTTGCGTAGTTTTAAAGTCTTAAGCATACATAGGGACGGACAGACAGCGAACGCGACTTTGTTTTGTACTATGTAATGATATGTAGGTAATGTAAATATATCTATCTATTTATCTCAGTTATCTAGTACCCATAACGGAAGGACTAGATGGCGCTGTGTGAATCGTCATGACATATTACTTTGTGGTATCTTTACCTATGTAAAGATACCACAAAGTAATAATAATAATATAATAATAAAAGACAGCTGAAGAGATTTCATCTTATAATAGTATAAGATGAAATCTCTTCCGCTGTCTGTTTGCTTAGATCTGTTAAATTACATAGTGGATTTTAATGTAGTTTTCAAGAGTGAGAGTAGTTAAGAGTGATTCAAGAGGAAGGTTTATATGTATACATGAACATCCTTGTGAAGCTGGGGCGCGTAAATAGTTATAAAGCTTATATATATTTGTATGAGTATCATATATGATGAAACACGAGCAAGATAGCAGACAACTGTTATATTACAGTGGATGATTTTTCGAAGAGGGCAACTCCAGGTCATTTTGCTAATATTATAAACGTGAAGGTTTGAGTATGTATGGATATTTGTTACTCGTTCACGCAAAAACCACTGAACGGATTTTTATGAAACTTTACAGTAATATAGCTTATACATCAGAATAACAAGGCTACAAGGTGAAACCGCGGGCACAGTTAGTTTATTATAAAATTTTAGTTGTCAAAAAAATTTCAAAGTTTGTGTATATACAGATTCGAACATGTAACCCTCAGAATCTTATAATTCGGTACCTATAGCAGTCAGCTATATCATAGTCTATATAAAGTTTATCCTTTCATATAGTGCCATATTATTATCAAATACGTTTATATAATTTATCTGTTTACATAGTTATGTTAGAAATAGAAAATAATATATACCTGAGGAAATTTTATTGCTCATTAAAACTATATATATGAGATATTACGACTCTCATCTCAGATGGGGTAGGCAGACATTTTGCTATGGTTTATAGATTCAAATATACTTTCAGGGGAAAGGGAATTATTAGTAATGTGGACTAATAACCCCATTACAAACAATATACCAGATCAAGTTGACCTACACGCGGTTCCCCCTGGAAACCATCGATACAAATTTCTGGTGAATTTGCCACGATGGGCTACCTGCCATGACCTTATGCTTCATCATCATCTTATCCTCCACTGGTGCCCCACTAGCGTAAACCGTTAGTGCAAGCTAGTGTACCATTACATTATCATCTATTAAAAAAATATATATTTATTGTGGTATATACCTAATTAATATTAGTCTGTGTAGAAATTTTGTTTAATATTTGAATTAAAATAATCGATCATATGTTAATAATCGAGGAAGATTACTTATATATATCTTCCTCGTACATATGTATGAATAAAATAAAAAATCTCTTGTTATTGAAGTTGGGTAACAAGAATAGGCAATTCGCATCACAATTTGCGCTTGCGTGCGTTTTTTTATATGCGTGTCCGCAGCTCTACTGTAGTATTCTTTATACATACAAATTTACTAGTTCTATATAATTATTATAGTTTTAAATTCTATATATTCGAAATTACTTCCTGCCCATCATCAAAAATGGAAAAAACATATTGACAGCCTCAGTGATGTAGCGATGTAGCACGCTGCTTTACTTCGATGATCGCGGGTTCGAATCCTCTCACGATCTAAACATTTGCATTCACGAGTATGATTGTTTGTATTGGTCTGAGTGTTTTCTATCTTATATATAAAATTCTCGTGTCACAGTTTTTGTTCCCATACTCCTCCGAAAGGGCTTGACCGATTCTCATGAAATTTTGTGAGCGTATTGAGTAGGTCTGAGAATCGGCCAACATCTATTTTTCGTCCCCCTAAATGTTAGGGGTAGTCCACACCTAATTTTTTTTTATTTTAAGGCAAAACAACGTTTGCCGGGACAGCTAGTAATATTGTATGTATGTATTTAAAAAAAGATGTATGTAAGTATTTATTTTGTATGAGTTATCTCGTATCCATAATTAAGATCTGCTTAGCTTGTGACTAGATGACGCTGTGTAAATTATCAAGGGATATTATTATTATTAAACACTCAAAGTAGATTCATTTTTTTTAATTTAATATAATGTTATAGGTACATTTCGTATAGAGTACTTAACGCTGGTATCTAAGTCTGCTGCCAGCAGCTTGGCTTGCAAACTATGTTCCAGCTTGGTATTTAATAAGACAGCGAAATCATAGAGTGGAAGGAATTTAGTCCCTAATTAAATTAAAAATAATTTATGTATGTAGGCATTTTATGAACGTCAAATTTTATGTATTAATATTTATTCCCTATAGTCCATTTCAGTTAAGAAGAACTGGCAAGAACTCAAATTAAATTCCTTTTTTTAATGCCAAATCATTTCAATTATATACTTACATAGTTTGTACTTATGTTATGATGTTACTTAATGAAACTTATATTTTAAGCTGTTAATTAAATATAAATAAAAAAAAAATCTGGGGTAAAATTAAAAGGGATGGAAGTTTGTATCGAATTTCGTTTTCATTAATTTCATTTCATTTCTGATGGTAGAAAAATGAAACATTTAATATTTCTTCTTTATTTGGTCAAGGTCACTATAACATTAGACATAGACTAACATGCAGTGCAACAGTGCCCTCTCTCTCCCCCCCTTTTATATATATATTTTTGGTGCCACTGAAAACCAGCTGTATGTTCACCTAGGACATACATTAAAGCTGAGTGGAGCCATTTCAGTGCATTATTGGATGTAAAAAATGTTTATTTTATGTTTATTTTTTAATTATGGTAAATTAAGTTTAATTATATGTACATTTAATTTGCTCTTTTTTTTTCGTTTGTTGTTTATATTGTATTTTTACATTGCGCTGAATAAAATATTTTTCTTTCTTTCTTTCTTTCTTACATTAAGTAAAATCCCGTTTTTGGATTCGTTCCCTCGAATACATTCCAGGAGACCAGAATTAGAAGGTATTAAATACATTCTGTATATCCTTCTACTCTATGATACGTTACATTTTTTTATAGATGATAATGATATGGTGCATCCGCCTGCGCTAACGTTTTACGCTAGCAGGGCACCAGTGGAGGATGATAAGATGAGAATGAGGTCAGGTCAGTTAGACCTGACCTCTTAATAATATTATTTTTGAGTTCCAAAAAAGGAATTATTATTATTATTATAATTAATTGTAACCCGTGACCTTCTGTGATTTTTGTTAATAAAAATACATACGCTATATCCTTTTTACTATACTATCTTCATGTATTAAAAAAATATATTAAGGGTTTTGGGCTATCGTCTATTGTTTGGGCTATTGTCAGGTGCTATAAGACCTGTAGCACTGCGACCTACATAGATCTATTGTGCTCGCCTTTACCTTCATGTGAAATTTCAATAGGAACCGTACAGTCGTTTAGTTGTAAAAAAAAAAGAATAGACAGAGCACTATCGCATTTACAGTACTAGCTGACCACCGCAACTCCGTTTGCGTTTTAAATGTCAAGTAAGTATTAGATAAGATATTGTGTTGAAAGTTACTTGACATTTATCATTATACTAGCTGTCCCTGCAAACGTTGTTATGCCATATAAATCAAAATCGCTATTAAAAATAGGGGTTGGTGATAGAAGGGTCAAAAATTAGGTTTGTATGTATTTTCAAAGCCACATTATAAATAATTAAATTTTCTCTATAAAATAAAAAAAGGGGTGGCTTTATCACTTAGGCGTATGATATAAAATAGATAGTAGCTGATTCTCAAACCTACTGAATATACATATATAAAATTTCATTAAAATCAGTCAAGCCGTTTGTGAGGAGTATGGTAACTAACATTGTGACACGAGAATTTTATACATAAGATTTTGCCCAATTTATATAATATCCTTTTAAGTTATAGCCTATGTGTTATTCTATTGTATAAGCTATATTACTGTAAAGTTTCATTAAAATGCGATCAATAGTTTTTACATGAAAGAGTAACAAACGTCCAATCTTCCATACCATTCATACTCACAAACTTTCCCATTGTGCATTGCATTTCATAAAAAATATAAAGCGCAATAAAAAGAAAAACAAAACCTTACATTTAATTAAATTCGAACGTAACGCTATCTGGAAGGGTCCATATTTCTCGAAGTCGCCCCGACCCCAGCCGTAAACGGAAACAAATAAACATAGCAATAAAAAGACTGTTCTCATTGTCACAACAAAAAACACATCGGTCCAGTGGATAGATTAACTTCAACTGAGCGAATTGAGTCGTGTTCATTGCCAGCTTGTATGAGATCAGCTGGTTGGTCGCTGACGTTGGATTACGTATGCGGTGACACCATATAATGTTCTGTTACGTTTTACAGTATAAAATATATCAGTACTACAATAAGCAAGACAGTTGTCTATGTGGATACTTTGTGACATACTTTGTTTTTTATCTTGGGGAAATCCGTTATCCGTCAGGAGACTGCTCCTATCGGCTAAAACCTCAAGGTGTACCTCTACCGCTTATTGCCGGAGCTACGGGTGTTCAAGCGTTCTTCGGCAGCTCCAACGGCCCATTTCAATAGACGGGCCACTAATCTTCTTCAGGAGAAGTAGTGCTGGGCAGCAGGGCTGCGATGTGTGACAGATTTTACACTAACTCTTCATTTTCGTGTTTATAATATTTATAAGATGGTACAACATTTCAATTTGTCTAATGAATAAAAATAATATCAGGACAATAACACAGCGCCATCTAGACCCAAGTTAAGCTAGCTAAAGCTTAAGTTAAAGTGTTATGAATACTAGATAACTGATACATATACATAGATATTTTTTTTTGTAAATACATGCATATTATACATAGAAAACAACCAGACTGATACAAACAATCATACTCATGAATACAAAATGTTTGTGCCGTGCATGGAATCGAACCCGCGACCATAGGTCGTAAAGCGGTGTGCTAGACCGCTAGACCACCGAGGTGGTCATAAAACAAACCATTATGTGATAATAACCTACTTATTGTAGCTTGCGCATATATTTTAAATCATTTATTGCTACCTGTTTAAATTTTAAGTGTCTTAGTTTTTAATTTTAATAATAATTTATGGTTATATATTCATATGTTGTCCATTTTCATATTTTTTAATATAAAAAGGTATACTTGAATTTTATTATATATAAATAATTTAATGTTAAACTACTGCTTTTATTAAACTGTAACGTTAGTTGGGTTGTGAAAGTGACTGTGCTCACAACAGGTAAAATGTATTTGTTATGTGAGTCACATCTTGACGCACTGATAAGCTTGATAACGGATAACTCCTTATAATGGAAACGCATGCAAAACAATTTAGATTTAATAGATGATTATTATTATACTTTAATTCATAGGTATACAGACAAATATATCCCTTATTTTGACAGTTTCGGTGGTCTACTGATTTAGCACACCGTCTTCCTTCAGATGGTAGAGGGTTCGATTCCTTGTGTGGTACAAATATTTGTATTCATGAATATGACTGTTTGTATTAGTTTGGGTATTTTCTATGTATATTATGTATGTATTTGTAAAATAAAATGTATATAAGCATTTAATATAATGATAATATAACTCTTTATTGCGCACAGAGAAATATTTACAAAAGAACTTAATACATAGATGTGTTACACAAAAGCCTTATCGGCCATAGCGGCCTTATCGCTTAATTATTTATTTATTTACGTCACACTAAGTGAGCTTTACAGTTTTCCAATATGCCTACTTAGGAAGATTGTATACATATACACACACTTATAAATCACTAGTTACTAATACATACACTAATTACACAAGAAAAAATAATAAAAATAATAACAATAATAATAATATAATATAACACCAGTCACACTAGACACACAATAAGTACACACATACTCACGCATACATACACGCGCACACACATATACACACTCTGCACTTACTTGGTTTCGGCCCGTAAATGTAGAGAAAACCAGCAAAAGCTGAGAAAAAAAAAAAATTTCCATACTACTTAAATAATATTGATTGCCATTATTTGTATTAGTTGTTTAATTAATACTATATATTATGTCAAACATGGAAATTCACCGCTAAAGCTACACATAGAATCAACGTATGTCAAAGAGGACTAGAGAGAAGCATGCTTAATATTAAAAAATTAGATAAAATAAGACACACCAGGATTAGAGGGATATCTAAAGCAATTAATGCTACGAGTTATGCAAAGAAGCTCAAATGGAAATGGGCAGGACATATCGCGAGAGTAACAGACCAGAGATGGACAACGCAAGTAACTTTGTGGAGCGGACCACCAGGCAAGAGAAGTAAAGGAAGACCTTTGACTCGCTGGGAAGATGATATCAAACGAGTAGCTGGCTCAAACTGGACATTAGTAGCACAAAGCAGAGACAAATGGACATCTTTGGAGGAGGCCTTTACCCAAAGTGGGGTTCTTGATAGCTAAATATATGTAAATATATAAATACATATTAGTAACAAATAGATTAATAATAATAAATACATATAGTAAATAATAATAAAAATACTTGAATAATTATAAATTAACAAATAGTGACAAATATATATTTCTAAGTTACTAACACCATAAATTTGTAATAAGCAAGAAATAAAAAGGTTTTTTTATTTATTATTTATTTATTTATATATTATTATCATCATCCACCGCTGAATAAATGTTTCCCCAAAAATTTTCCACGCTGCTCGCATCCATTCGTCAGTCTAAATTGTAGGAGGCCTTCCCACGCTGCGTTTCCGGCCCCCGGTCTCCATTTAAGGACTTTACTGCTCCAACGGCCATCTCTTCTACGAGCTATGTGCTCTGCTCTTGCCACAATTATTTCGCATTTTTTTAGTTTGTAAATTTGTGCGCGTTTGACCGCATTCTCACTTGATGTTAAGTAATGATGCGGTCTAAGCTGTTACACGCAAACTCAAATAGTGCCTTAACTTGAAAGATCCAATGTTGTAAGAGGCAGGAAACACACGCTGGGAGAGAGTTACACTCCTTAGCTGCTCGCATAAGCAAAGATGATGTAAACCGATTGGTACGAGCAGCAGGGATGTCAACAGTGTATGGATGGAGTCGCTCTCCTCGTCTTGTTGTACGGTGGTAGTAAATTAATATTTTACATATTACTCTCTCCGATCGATCCAATTCAAACGGGGATCGAAATTACGACGGCCTGATGCGAAGTTCGAACTCCTAGCGGTGATCTCAGACTAAAGTCGTATCCTTCAGGCAAGAACTGGCCTTCAGTTTCTCCATAAGTCCTTCCGCGGGTTTGGAGTGCCATCTGCACTTACCCCCTATCGTCCGGTGAAGCTGTAAAAGCTAGCTGCGGCCAACAGCAATAGAGTAATCCGAAATAAAAAAACATTATTATTATTATTATGTTATATATATTGTATTATTATTAGTTTGTATGTACTATATGTACATACAAACTCATAATTTACTTTATTTACAAAAAAAATGAATATACTCGGATACCATTGCGATTTGTATGTTATTGTACCTCAAATTGAAGACAACGTGAGATGATATCAGTAAGTAGAATCGTTAAATTGGTTAATATGGTACCAGAGGTAAGTATATTCAACTGGCATATCTATGTTACACTATCATAATATATACTAGGTACTTTTTAGTATTTAATGAGTTCCCAACCGCTGTGAGTAGAAAATTATTAAAGTATTAAAAAATAGGTTTCGAATATAATTTAGAAACAATGAAAAATGTAGAATAATGTATCTTTAAAATCGTCATAGGAATTCTCAATTCGATGCAGTTGTCCCAGAGTGTACCTTTCTTATAACAACATAATTTCCTTTAAATGTGGATTAAATAATGAAAGATAATAAATGAATCGATTTATTTTTAGATATAAGATTATTCATGTAGTTCAAGGAAATTTGTTTTAATTAAAAATAAAACCAATTATAAAGTGCAAACCATGAATGATCTCTATAAAAATAGATTCTTAAATCGAGAGGTTTAATTTAAAAGGGTATCTTCTCAATTATATTTAATCATTTTCTTTAGAGCCAGTTATTTTTTTCCGTTCTAGATAATTCTAATCTAATTATTTGAATGATGTAGTACATGATAATGCCAACATACTTGATGTGAGATAAGATAATGTCATTGATCTTATATCCCAAATCTGGAAATCGCGAAATAAATCTGCAGGTATTTAAAAAATAAAAAATGAGTCATCATAATATTAATATATCAAGCAAATTCTATTTACTGCTTTTTATAAAAAAGAAATTCGACCATAAATAATTTTAGTTATAAGTGTAAATATTATTAAGCTTCTATTCTCAAAAAAACTATGTGTGTGGGTCAAAAATATGGTAGTGTGAGTAATGTTTCTTTTTATTGATTTAATGTATTGTTTATACTTAATTTAAAAATAAATAGAAGCATTCTCCACTATTTCTCTATATAAACTGTAAATGCGAAATTTCATAATTTTCGTGAAAAACGTTTACAAACAAAGTTTTTAAATGTAAACGGCAACTGAAACACATAGTATAAAATTTCATAAAGAAAGAATGCAAAAACATAGTAGGTATGTAAGCTAATATTTAACAATTATTGAAAAATACATGAAATAATAATAAAAATGGTTATATATCACAATGTTTTTATATTACAATTACTATCATTCTGACACACATACATACAGATACGATTAAGTCAGACAATAACAAATATAAGTAAACAATGCCCGAAAGAATAGCAAAATTTGGCAAAAAATTAATAAGATGGCTGCTGATTGTCAAATATTTTTTCTCACGCATCACGCGAAGTCGCTTTAGTACGGTAGTATGACTATACAGCCGTATTAGCGTTCGAAATTTGAAATACAAATTGTTGTCAATTTTCGAACACTTGGTGACAGTTCAATATTTTCAAAAAAGGAAAACTAGGCCGAACAAACATTGTAAATAAACCCTAAAATCTATTAATATATTTTTTTAATTTGAGATTGTATTTTTTATTGAATATATATTTTGATATAGGTAAAAGTTTTTTTATGTATATCAAATACAATTTAAAAAAAAAAACAAAATTAACATACTTTTTCCCTAGCGTCCCCTATACTAATATTATGACGATTGTTTTTTTTTATCGTATCTAATAGATAAAGTCAAATGTACAGTCCCGTTTTTTCACCTTTACCACAGATAACAT